TCACCATCACCCCCGTTGCCATCATGACTGCCCATAGGGGGGTTGGAGATGGCATGGGCAACATCGATGTCCTCGCCTTGGAGTAAAGCGTTCACGATCCGTCCAACTTCTAGGTCTCTTGTGCTGAACCAAGCTGGGTTTCCATTCGGATGTTGGCTACCTGATTGAAGCCAAAAAAGGTGTCTCTGCGAGCTGGATGAGAATTTCAGTGCATATACTCTTCCGTTGGTGGGTCTGTTGGTGTTAGACGGGTTTTGTGCACTGGTGGGGTTGTACGGGGTGAAAGTTCCATCGGATGGGACCATGACCAAATCTAGCTCTGGTTCATCGAGCGACGCAGATCGTCGACGCCAGCAAAAGTGTACCAGGTCATCTTCTAAATAGAGGTAAATATAGCCAGGAGCGGGCTTAGGTTTTACTCTTGGCGGAGAAACAGAGGTCTATATTGGGTAGTGGCTCGTCAGATGTTTTTTAAATGTCACAGACCTCCAGTGTCTGGGGCAGGACACCAAACGTCGGGGATCCATTGAAGAACATTAAAGAAAGCAGCCATTAAAGCGAACTACTTACATCAAGATCACAGAGACCTGCTTTGAAGGTGATGATGGGCGCTATCGACATGGCTGCAGTAGGGGTCTCGTGGCGAGCCAGCAATCAAAGATATACCACTATTGCTATCGGAGAGAGCTATGTGATCGGGACCGAGTAGACACCTACGATGGCGATGCTACCGATTGATGTGTCGTTGATGATGTTGTTTTATACCCGCAGAAGGTGCCAAGTCAGGTGGTTGGAGCTCCGGATTGGCACTAGTGCCTTCGGCTAATGGGTAGGGCAAGGGATCCCACAAAAGCATCGTGCCTTTACGTGCACCACGACTCCGACACTCAACGACCATCGACAACTTGGATCTCCTCCAACTCTCAATTTCCTTCTTTTCCATATCTTCGTCACATTATCCAATATGTCGGCGACTTTGGACTCAAAGTCTGTTGGCCAGACGAAGAAGTTTGGAAAGGGCGAGAGGACCATTCCCGCCCAAAAGGCTCAAAAGTGGTATCCCACCGAGGATGAATGCCAACCGAAGAAAGTCAGTATCTTTTTATTGCCTTTGCCTCTACCGCCAGAATATATATCTATCTGGGAATTATTACCATTGTTGGGAAGCATTTCTTCAATGTCTACAATGCATATCGGCGGGGTTGATAGGCATTTCATTGACACATGCACAATTTTGCGATCCGGCACAGATAAAATTTCAAGTTTAAGGACTTTCCACAATTAAGAAAAACTGACAAGAACGATATCAAAACAGGTTCGCAAGACAAACCACCCTGCTAAGCCCCGGCCCAGTCTTCAACCTGGCACAATCCTCATCCTCCTCGCTGGTCGTTTCCGTGGCAAGCGCGTCATCCTCCTCAAGCACCTCCCACAGGGTGTTCTCCTCGTTACTGGTCCTTTCAAACTAAATGGTGTTCCTCTCAGAAGAGTAAACGCCAGATACGTCATTGCCACGAGCGCAAAGGTTGATCTCAAGGGCGTTGACGATAAGGTTTTAGAAAAGGCTGCCGAATCTGACTACTTCAACCGGGAGAAGAAGGCAGAGAAAAAGGGAGAGGAAGCGTTCTTCAAGCAGGGAGAAAAGCCCGAGGTATGGTTTTGCCCCTTTTGTGCGTCGAACGATGTATCTTGTTTGGCTTCATGGCGATAATTTTTTACGTTATTCTTCGGGATGACTTTTTATATGGTGCGCGTATGCTCGGATATTCTGGTTACTAATTAATATATGGCATGATTGGAACAGAAGAAGAAAGTCGCCACCGCCCGCGCCAATGACCAAAAGGCCATCGACCAACCCCTTTTGGCCACTATCAAAAAGGAGCAGTTCCTTGCCAGTTACCTTTCTTCCAGCTTCAGTCTACGGAAGGGCGACAAGCCTCACGAGATGAAGTGGTAATCTGGTGCGTGGTCAAACGAGGAAATGGAAATAGAAAGAAATTGCCGGCGTGTTTTCTTTTTTTTTTTTTTTTTTCACACTTTTTGTCTGTTTTCATGTGTGGGCTCTGTTTGGGGGAAACATTTTGCTCTTCGGAAGCAATTAAAAAAAAAGGGAAAAAAATATTAAAAATTTACGCTATGCCTTTCCAAAGGTCCCTTTTCAATGAGATAATGTACAATCCCATGGCTATGGCGACTCTTCTCACAATTAATTTGATGGTTTCATCAAAATCCCTTTATTCCATTTGGTGAACCCCTACACGCCCTCTTTTTTTTATTCTGCAAAGGCATTCCTTAGCACACGCCGCTTGCAATACAATACCTTTATCCGAAGCTCCTTGTTTTTTGCCCTTTGGAGGGCCTGGTTCTTGTTTCTTGCTTATGCGGCATGTTGTATCCTCATTATCAACTATTGCAGGTCGTCACATTTCCAAGATCTCATCCATTCCCATAGGAGGTTTAAACACGTACACGCCGACATCGACCAAGCCTCCAAGGCGACTCGTCCCCAATTATGAAGGGACTACCCCTCGCCCCCGAGTTCTCAGCCCCCTAACCTGCCTCCTTGGCTCCTCAACCGCCGCATCAAGAACAGCATCAATATCAATTTCATGCTCCGCGTCCTCTCCCTCAGGTGCATACCGACTGTGGCCCACTGTAGTCCCGCATATCCAATCCATGACCCCCCATGACCCGTAATTGCCACAACCTTTGCTTAGCAGGTGCAAATCGGCCCTGCGCGCCATGCCGCCAATGAAGAAACTGGTGGGCATGACTCTGTAACCGGAGTGGGAAAAGGTCTCCTCGAGCGAAATGAGGGCGACGAATATGAGGTAGGTGAGCAGGTGGAAACGGCAGGCGGCGGCGGGAAGGAATGTAGGTATGAACCGGGAGAGGAGGTAGGCGAGAGGATGATCGTAATGTGCTGTTAGCGGGTAAGCCTTTCATCGCGAGTGGTACCATTCATCATGGCAC